ACACCAAAACGGTCTCCAAACATATATCAACACAGGCAGCCCCCTCTTATGATCAGGTATGTTTAGGTAGACAAACATCTACAGTAATGCATCCCATTGTACAGAACTGTGGAATTTGTTGGCGCTATATATATATAATATTAATTGTGACGTATAAAGCAATATTTGGAGAAACCATGGCCGACACGACAATCACACTAGGGAAATAAAGACTAAACTATCACTATATGGCCCAGTCATCAACTCAAACATGCCTGCAAGACTTTGTCAAGGACTATATTGTAAAAAGTAATACTTCCAATATCTTCCCCGCAACCTAATGGATCTGACAAGAGACAATCATGAGGGCATTATAAAATATGTATCATCACTGCACAAAAGACAAGCCCAATAAAATAATGAGATCTCCTCCTGCACAGCTCTATTATAACCAAAATACAGTTTGAGCATAACAATTTGAAACAGTTAAAAGTATACAGATGATTAACTTCGATTGGGGGTGGGGGGAGTCACATGTTCTAACACAACATTTTTATTCCAAAGGAAATAAGGCAATAGGTACTTTGTTAGATAATGTTAACAAAATGTACAGTTCTAAGGTCATTGCTGACAGTTCTGCACAGAACTACAAAATGTTTTATTACTTAAGTAATGACTCAACCTTAGTTTAATCTTCACAGGATTAGATAAATTATTACTTGATACAATACCCTTCCCTTCTATGTCAATTGAGGGTATTGAGTAGCTAAAACAATGTTTATCTCCGGCAGAAAGATACTTAGCTATTTTGTAATTCACCTCGTAACACTATTTAATGTTTGCGTAAATTGTAGCCATCTGCTGAAAGAGATTTTGAAAAGAAATCTGTGACACATAAAAACCTGGAAATCCTTCTGCTGTATGTCCTAACCTAAGACCCCTTTTACTGAATACAGACTGTAGCGGAGCTCACTGTACCCTAGCTGGGTACCTCTGCCAAGGACAGCTTCCTAGCTGCAACAGGGGACAAACCTCAGCACTTCTGCCCACAGTCGCCGTGGCTTGACTGGGGCCCTGGAACTGCTCTCTCCTGGAGCCGAATGGGGAATTCACTCTAGACACCCCCAGGCACTGGACGACACTCAGTCCTGGGAGCTCTAGTCCTTTCAAGGGCTTTCTCCATTGAATCCTCAACACTGCAACAGTGATTAAAGAATAGCCCTTTCCCCTCCCAGTAACCAGACAACACATAGTTCTGGGAGTACAATCTGGAACACCTTTTAATGGCAGCCACAACTTGCCTTATATGCATGTCTCCATGCAAGGGGCACTCCCCCGTGGACCTGAGAGTAAACCACAGTAGAAACAAATAACAATTACATTGGCTCTCAGATCCAGGACACTCCAATACATAATCAGATAATCCCTCCTCTGTGCCTGGGAGATAATTGGATCAGGAACTGTACTAATGTAATCCAAATATCTCCAAGCACAGAAATAAAAAACATTTTTCCAAACACGCCAAAGGTACCCTAAAAATACACAAAACTCCCACAAAAGTTGCATCTCCTGACAGCCCTGATCTGGGTGACCAACATATCCAAAAATCACCCAGATCAGTTCAGGGGTTCAGGAATTTCCTGAAAGTCATTTGTTTGACCGACCACATGCATAGTCCCATGCCCAAAACAGTTCCAGAGACTCAGGGCTTGCGGTCGGTCTAGTTCGGTAGTTTAAAAACGAACAAACTACCGAACATAGTCAATAGTCTTACCCTGGAGCTTGTTCCCCTTGTTCGTGGGAACGTTTCCATCAAACAGTGTCTTTCTAAGTGTTGTTGAACCGAACGCAGGCGATCATGGAAGTCCAGCGGTGTTCGGGAGTTTCAGTGTCCGAAAATAGTACCATGAACTCGACAACCAAACACCGCTGCCTGGTTTCATGTGAACAAGATGGCCACCACCTCGTGTTCGTCCATAGGAATTGCGGCCACCCAGACGAACACTTAGAACACTGTGGTGGAAATTGCTATAATGTATCAATTAGGCTTAACAAGCACCAGGGTGGTCACCGGTTCGTGCAGCTGTTGGGTACGCGAACCATATAGTCCAAATACACGATCAGAGACTTTTATATCACATTTTACAAGGTCCATAATCTGTGGGCAGGAAGCTGGCAAGCAGGCTCCTCCAGAAACTCATGGCAAACTCACTTGAATAGGGGAGTTTGTCACACAGACTATACCACCAGTTCCCAAACTGTGTGCCGTGGTGCCCTGGGGCACCATGACTGGCACACAGGATCGCCGTGAAATATTTCCCCAGTTCTATGACCCCATTGTGCCTCACTGTCCCTTGCTGTTTGTGCAGGACCGAGGGGAGATCAGAGATCTCCCTCACTGGCCCGCTAGCACTGAAATGCTGACAGCTGGCAGGGGAGGGAGAGAGAGGACCCGGGGGAGCTTTAACCTGCAGCTCCACCGGGTTCACTTTCACCACTTGTACCACCAGGGCTTCCCCACTGGACCATCAATGATTGCCTTGTACTGTCCCCCCTCCCAGGCATAGGTAAGCAGGGAGGGGACATATCAAAATTATTTTTTATTTTAATTTAAAAAAAATTATACTTATTAATCTACCCTCTAACCCCACACACCCACAATAATTCTCCCCTATACACACAAACTACTCCCTCATACACACACTGCTCCTACACACACTGCCCCCTACACACACACACATAGCCTTCCCACCACCCCATACACACACAGTACCCCTCAATACACACACACACACACTACAATTCACGAGCACACTATAACCCTCACACACACACTGTATCCCTCAGGCACACACTGCACCCTTCAAACACACACACACAATGCACCCCTCAGACACTACATCCTTCACAAACACAATGCAGCCCCGTACACATACTGCACCCCTCACACAAAAACACAGACACTGCACCTCTAACACATACACTTAACCCTACACACACACATTGCGACACACACACACACCACTGCCCCTATCCCCCACTACAGCCCCTATCCTGGCAGACCCCAGCTAAGTTGTCAAACTGTTCTTAAACAGTTTGACTACTTACTTTGGGTGGGCACCACGGAACTCCTGGCACCATAACCACTACAGCATACTGTAGTGGTTATTGTGCCTGGATTGTTTCTTTAAATAATCTACCAGTGCCCATCCCGAGATTAGGTTCTGGATACACCCCTGACAGGGAAACATTTCTGCTGAACAGGGGCCCAGTGTATGCCCCAGAAATTTTTTTGACCTACGGTGCCTTGAACCTAAAAAGTGTGGGAACCACTGGACTATACTATTTATGCACAAATACTAGCTGAATGGAAAACGCAGCCAAATTATCCTTCCTAATATTTGATATAAATAGTCAGAAGGTCCTTCTTAGAAGCTTCCGTTAGCTCTCCTGAGCTAAACTCTATAGTACAGGGATAGCTCATTGACAGTGTCAAGTGATTGCTTAGCTCTGACAAAGAGCATCTGCCTCTCTTGTAGACTTTAGTGGAGAAAGGAAGTTGCGTCCTGTGGAACCAGGTACGGGATTTACTGCAGTGGGAGGTGTGCCAGTGTGCTGTAGTTATGGTACTTAGAGTGTTCCTTAAAAGATTTCATATAGAGAGACCTAGCTATGCAATCCCTATGCTTATTTATGAGATGTGCACAACAGCTTGTATCAATAAATGACAACTCTCTGTTTATACCTGATGTGCCCTGTATGATTACATGAAAGGGGAAATTCTCTCACTTTACAAATCACACAAAACCTAAGGCTTTATGTTATTCAGATATTTCAGTCTACATGTATCACCCATATATAAATCTCCACATCTAAATTGTTTTGGAAAATGTAATGCACATATTGTGTGTTGGTGCCCATTCATACTATGATTTGGGATCTAATCATCTACCCTCAAAAAGTAGGTCTGGCTCTGGTAAAGAGAGATTATTATAACCGTAATAAAGCTCTCTTTCAGGCAATACTTGTGTAATGAGGTTGATCTTCCTAGCTGTTCTTTAGACCCAAGTAATCAAACAAGGCTTTGATATCAAATGTAGCTCCAGAGATATGTTCATATGTAGGTGTGTGTGTGTGTGTGTGTATTGGAGAGGACACTGTAGTAGATACGTAGATATGTGCAATCCACATTACTTAAACAAAATGATGTGCCTCCCTTGATCTCATCATTTATCACTGTCATCAAGCTAGGACAGTATCTATAGGATCTTAGGGAGAGCCCTGTGTTTCTTAAAACTGCTCCCAAATACGCTAATAACAGTATATAAATAAAGGAACATTATAGCTAATGCTAGTGTTCCCTTTTTTTATATTCTTTATTTTATTAGTGCAAATAATTAACAGGCAAGTTTGTTCTGCCACAATAGCTGAAGCAAAGCAGATGATACACAGAAACAAACAACACTATGGCATTGAAAGCATTGCACATTTTTTGGTTAAGTGAACAAGATAAACATATAATATAGCTTGACATTGTAATCTGCATGGTTATTGCTTGGATCATTTGGTGATTAATCATGCATGGCAGACATCATTAAATAACACAGCCTTGCTATCGACTTTGTTGTTGTCTCTTAACTTAAGTGAAGGCGCACCATATGTGATATTATGCAACTAAAGAGATAATAACATTCTTAAAAGTTAACACTATATGTGTGCTATAAGTGTAGCTGACAACATGGCAACTCTTATGTTTGAATGTTGCTAAACAAGCCACCTATATATAAAAGGTGAGATGAGATGTCCCAGTGATAAGGTGATAATCTGCGAGCTATGTATTAAATAAGAAAAAAAATAATTATACTATACTGTGTGTATAGTGCTCGCTAGTTAGGTAGCCAGTTAGCCGCTGGGACACAGGGCAGTTATGATGGTACGGTATGTCATTGTAACAAGATGGTGTCCATTGTGAACATTGGGGACTCAGAGGTTAGATGCTCAGCCCTCCCATTTCAGGGTGTCTCCGGCTCAGCCAATCCCCCGGTTCAGGAAGGTCCCAGGACTCCCGGTGGGGTAAGCGGTACCTCTCTTTTCTTCTTTGGAGGGTTTTGCTGCTTGGTGAGTGTACCGTTTGTTAGAGTGGTCGTTTGGCTCGCTCCTTGTGACCTTTGCTTGTTCTGGAGGGCCATAGGCAGGTCTGTAATGGGAGCTCTTGTATTGGCCGTGTCCAGCCTTTGGTGCGTGCCCCTGCTTTTCATGCGGGGTTTGGGAGGAAGGTTTGTGTTGTAGTCGCGTCCAGAAGGCCCTGCAGAGTTGGTCAAACCGGGCTTCGAAGTGCTGCCTCCATTGCTGGAGCCCTGGGTCATCTGTAGCATGCTCAGGACATGGCTTGGCAGCCATGTTAGATGCCTCATGCGATTTGCCGCCGGACTGCAGTTCCCCCTGTGGTAGGTAAATCTGAGTCTCCAGCGGGGACCGGGATATCCCCCGCTGGTCCATGGGGGGGGGGAGGGTAGCAGGGAAACAGAAGAGCTGCAATGCGGTACTAACCCAGTGTCAGGAGATCGGCGGCCTCTCCCGGCAATCAGGCTGCTGTTCATGCTAGGCCTGGCAAACCGGCTTGGATTGCTTTGTGTGTGGTATTAAACTGTTCAGTTTAACTTCGTTTACCCTGACCACAAAAACATGTATTCCTAACGTTTTAATGTCCCTATATAAAGTAGTCTCCACCCCCAACTGTTTGGCAAAATATTAAAGGACCACTATAGGCACCCAGACCACTTCAGCTCAATGAAGTGGTCTGGGTGCCAGGTCCCTCTAGTTTTAACCCTAGAAACTGCTATGTTTACACTGAGGGTTAATCCAGCCTCTAGTGGCTGTCTCACTTCCGCAATTCTCACTGTGAAAATCACAGTGAAAAGACGCTGACGTCCATAGGAAAGCATTGAGTAATGCTTTCCTATGGGCGGTTTGTATGCGCGCGCGGCTCTTGCTGCATATGCGCATTTGGCGGTGACATCGGCAGGGGGTGGAGAGTTCCCTGGCGCTGGAGAAAAGTAAGTGGCTGAAGAGGTTTTAACAGCGGGATGGGGGCTATAATGGTGGGGGGGGACCTAAGGACTACATTGTGCCAGGAAAACGAGTTTGTTTTCCTGGCACTATAGTGGCCCTTTAATAAATAAAAAGTTTTACTTACCTTTTTTTCTAAGGCTCCCTCAGCACTGCTCACCTCTCTGCCATCCCATCTAAAAGACAGCCGCTAGAGGTGGATTTAACACTCCTGCACCAAGACCACTTCATTGAAAGGAATAGTCCCTTTAACCCCTTAAGGACACATGACATGTGTGACATGTCCTGATTCCCTTTTATTCCAGAAGTTTGATTCTTAAGGGGTTAAATACAGGACATAGTGCCCATAGACTCTTTGCACCACAACTACTATATTGAGCTATGGTGGTTATGGTTTCTTTTGAGCATTTATATATAAGAAATACACAGTGGAAAAATAATTATAATACCACATTATATTACATGTACTACTGACCATGTAATTTATCTTATCACATGTCCCTGTGGATTATCATATGTTGGGGAAAAGGATCTATCGTTAAGGGAAAGAATAAGAGGACACCGCTCCGGCATTCTCACCGCCTTTAGGGATCAACAGACAGATAACCCTGTAGCAAAACATTTTTTAAAGGCTCTATTGACCATGTACCTCCTCTATCCAGAGGAGGAGATAGATCTAAAATTCTCTTACAGAGGGAAACCTACTGGATACACTATCTAGATACCGTTGCTCCAAAAGGACTCAACGAATATATATCATACTCTATGTTTTTATAAATGTGTCTAGTTATGTTCCCCTTACTCCTACTGCTATTCAAACCTTTGTTTAAAGGTCATACTCAATTTATGTCAAGTTAATAAGTCATATATTATGTATCTTGGTACAATTAATTAATTCAGATAATCTCTATAACTCTTTACTTGTAAATTATATGTATATATTAATAATCACTCTGCTTCAGTCCCATCTCTCTAGCTATATATGAGTTCTGTAAGAACTCATTCACCCCTTAGTCAACCGGCCAGTTCATTTCACTTCACTATACACCTTTCTGCTAATGATATAGCCAGCGATACTACTAATGGGGATTAATATCTTGGTACCCAGTGACTAATAAGCCTCTGTTACTTGTTTTTAGATCACATTTGCACTTTATAAATGGCACGGTTTTTAATATACTGTATATTTATACCTGTAGCCTAGTAACCGGGCTACACGTCATTACACAATTCATGTACTTTTCGGTGATCACGTGTCCTGCCTAACACACTTCCGGGTTCGAGGGATGGCACTACACACACCTGATTTGGTAAGTGTTATTATTTATTTTGTATATAACGGCTCACTTTGCACTGTTTTTGTGACCTTGAAAAAGCCCCTGAAGGGTCGAAACGTTGGGACAATTGGATTATATTGAGTGAATAAACGATACTTTGCAAAGACCTGTGAGTGCACCTCTCTTAATGGATATATACTGAACGCTGGTAGCACCGAGGTAATATATATTTAAGGAAGAGTGCAGAGGACAACTGTATGTATATGTATATATGTATATATATATATATATATATATATATATATATATATATACATATACAGGGAGTGCAGAATTATTAGGCAAGTTGTATTTTTGAGGATTAATTTTATTATTGAACAACAACCATGTTCTCAATGAACCCAAAAACTCATTAATATCAAAGCTGAATATTTTTGGAAGTAGTTTTTAGTTTGTTTTTAGTTATAGCTATGTTAGGGGGATATCTGTGTGTGCAGGTGACTATTACTGTGCATAATTATTAGGCAACTTAACAAAAACAAATATATACCCATTTCAATTATTTATTATTACCAGTGAAACCAATATAACATCTCAACATTCACAAATATACATTTCTGACATTCAAAAACAAAACAAAAACAAATCGGTGACCAATATAGCCACCTTTCTTTGCAAGGACACTCAAAAGCCTGCCATCCATGGATTCTGTCAGTGTTTTGATCTGTTCACCATCAACATTGCGTGCAGCAGCAACCACAGCCTCCCAGACACTGTTCAGAGGTGTACTGTTTTCCCTCCTTGTAAATCTCACATTTGATGATGGACCACAGGTTCTCAATGGGGTTCAGATCAGGTGAACAAGGAGGCCATGTCATTAGATTTTCTTCTTTTATACCCTTTCTTGCCAGCCACGCTGTGGAGTACTTGGACGCTTGTGATGGAGCATTGTCCTGCATGAAAATCATGTTTTTCTTGAAGGATGCAGACTTCTTCTTGTACCACTGCTTGAAGAAGGTGTCTTCCAGGAACTGGCAGTAGGACTGGGAGTTGAGCTTGACTCCATCCTCAACCCGAAAAGGCCCCACAAGCTCATCTGTGATGATACCAGCCCAAACCAGTACTCCACCTCCACCTTGCTGGCGTCTGAGTCGGACTGGAGCTCTCTGCCCTTTACCAATTCAGCCACGGGCCCATCCA